TGGACTCTTAATGAGCTCATTTCTCACTGCGTGCAAGAGGAAGAGAGGTTACAGCGAGAGAAGACTGATAGTACTCACTTGGCATCAACCTCTCAAGACAAGAAAGAAAAGAGAGAAGTCACAATCATTGGATGTGTTCAAAGAATTTAAAGCTGAAGTTGAACTTCAGTTAGGCAAGAAAATTAAGGCCATTAGATCTTATCGTGGTGGTGAATACTATGGTAGATATGATGGATCAGGTGAACAACGTCCTAGGGCCCTTTGCGATCTTCCTAAAGGAGTGTGGAATCGTCCCGCAATACACAATGCCAGGTAAACCTAGCATGAATGGTGTTGCCCTCTTAAAGACATGGTGAGGAGATCTTAAAGACTGCAGTTTATATCCTTAATAGGGTTCCCAGCAAAGCAGTGACAAAAAATGAGCTATGGAATAGAAAGAAACCTAGCATAAGACATTTACACATTTGGGGTTGTCCAGCAGAAGCGAGGCCAAATGAAAGAAAGTTGGACTCAAGAACAATCAGCTGCTATTTTGTTGGATATGTTGAACGCTCTCGGGGCTTTAAGTTTTTTAATCCCACTACAAGATCCTTTTTGAAGACGGGAAATGCCAGATTCCTTGAGGATGTTGAGTTTGGGGGGAAGATAAAATAAGGAATGTTGTCTTTGATGAGGAAGAAAATTACATTTCTCTTCCTAATATTGTCATCATTCAAGATGCAATTACGGAACAAGCAATTAATGATCAGGTCCCTGTTCATGACATTGTTATGGAACAGGCTTTGGTCCCTGACATTACTTTGGGTCAAGACAATAATAAACCACCCCCTATGCCACCTATAGAACAAACTCAACAAACTCAAGAAGTGCCATTAAAGAGATCCACTAGAGAAAAGAGAAATGCAATTCCGGATGATTATATTGTGTTTCTTCAAGAGCATGAAAATATTTTAAGCATGAAGGAAGATGATCCAATCAACTTCCAACAAGTCTTAGAAAGCTCTAATGCTCATAAATGGATTGATGCCATAAAAGATGAGATGCAATCTATGAAAGACAACGACGTTTGGGATCTTATTGAGTTGCCTAAAGGTGCGAAACCCATTGGTTGTAAATGGATATTTAAAACCAAAAGGGATTCAAATGGCAACATCGAAAGATATAAGGCACGTCTAGTTGCTAGAGGTTTCACTCAGAAAGAAGGCATAGACTATAAAGAGACTTTCTCTCCAATTTCTACGAAGGACTCTTTTAGGACAATAATGGCGCTTGTGGCTCATTTGGATTTGGAGCTACATCAGATGGACATAAAGACAACGTTTCTCAATGGTAACATTGATGAGACAATTTATATGGTGCAATCAGAAAACTTTGTATTGGGAGATTCAAAGTCTATGGTTTGCAAATTGAAAAAGTCCATCTATGGCCTTAAGCAAGCTTTTCGTCAATGGTACCACAAATTCCATCAGGTTATTATCTCCTATGGCTTTGAGGTGAACTTAGTGGAAGATTGTGTGTATCACAAGTTCAGTGGGAGTAAATTCATATTCCTGATACTATATGTTGATGATATATTACTTGCCAGTAGCGATATGGGCTTATTGCATGAAACCAATAAACTTCTCATTAAATATTTTGAGATGAAGGACCTTGATGATGCATCTTTTGTCTTAGGAATACAGATACCTCGAGATCGCGCTCAAGGTATCCTACGGTTATCACAAAAGGCCTACATTGAAAAGATTTTGGATAGATTTGGTATGAAGGATTGTACGTTAGGAGATACGCCCATATATAGGGGAGACAAGTTTAGTCTTGCCCAATGCCCTAAAGGTAAGCTTGAGATGATAGAAATGACAAAGGTACCTTATGCTTCGGCAGTAGGAAGCCTTATGTATGCCCAAGTTTGTACTCACCTTGATATAGCATTTATAGTGGGAGTGTTAGGAAGATACTTGAGCAATCCAGGAATGGATCGTTGGAAAGCAGCCAAGAGGGTTATGCGATATTTAAAGAGAACAAAAGATTATATGCTTACATATCGGAGGTCAGATGAATTAGAGATCGTCGGATATAATGACTCTGATTTTGCTGGATGCCAAGATAGTAAAAGATCCACGTCAGGTTATGTCTACATGTTGGCTGGAGGAGCTATTTCTTGAAAGAGTGTTAAACAGACACTCGTAGCTTCCTCTACTATGGCCGCTGAATTTGTAGCTTGTTTTGAGGCATCCAACCATAGGGTATGGCTGCGAAACTTTGTCACAGGGCTGCATATAGTGAGTGGTGTTGAAAGGCCACTGAAGATTTATTGTGACAACAGGTCAGCAGTGTTGTACTCCAACAACAACAGAAGCTCTTCAAAATCGAAGCACATCGATATAAAGTTTCTGTTTGTTAAAGAAAGAGTTCAGAGTGGTCAGATTTCCATAGAACACATAGGGACGAACTCCATGCTTGCGGATCCGCTTACTAAAGGCTTAGTGCCTAAGGTATTTCACGAGCATACTGCTCATATGGGTGTTGTTTTGTTCGATGACACTACGGTTTAGTGGGAGTTCTTTATGTTGGTGTTCTATGTAAATAAATAAATGAAATAATCTTATGTTTGTTTTCTGCAGAATAAAGAATTCAATGTTATTTTTCCTCTGAATGTATTATATTTTGTGCTTGTGTTTCTGCTTTGTTTATGCAGAAAATTTAGGATTGATCTCATAAAGATTAAAGTAGGACCAGTTGGAAATAGGCATGGTAAGATCACATTGCATGTAATTTCCATGCCACTCATCCATACTTGATCTATGTCATTGAATATATTGGTGCGATGACCATGGAAGGTTTAGTTACGCTTGAAAGTGACAAAAGCCGCCATGATCTCATATTGATATAGGAGGTGGACCAGATTGTATCTAAGGAGGAATCTAAAAAAAAAAAATAGCATACAGTTGCACACTAAATTATATGATATAATTATCTCAAGTTAATATGTGGCCCAAGTGGGAGATTGTTAGGAAATTATATTTTCTAATAATCATTGTGGGTCACATATTATATTAATAATTATATTGTGCTATTTATATATATTGGGTAAATTAAAGTGATCAGTTAAATATTCTCAAATAGATTCCTAAGTGAGTATGGGCTGAATGAGTGGATACCGGTGTTGGGCCAACTAGGTATAATGGGAGCTTATTGGCCAAACAATAAAGATAAAATCACTATAAGGGTTATGATTCCCAAGACGTCAAATTACAACCCTAGTTTCTCTTCCCCATCAAGAGAGAGACGACACACTAAGGAATTCAGTTTTAGGGTAATTTGACTGAGGAAGACAACAAACCCCAAGAGACAAGATCAAAGTTATTCCGCTGCAATGGAGACAGGTATGCCTCCACCTTTATGTTCTTATTTCTTTATGATTTGGTATGATGGAGCTTGGCTTGTTGGTGATAGTTATCACCAAAAGGTTTAGAGGAATTAAAAATCCCAACATCATTCTCCAAGCAGATTTTGTGAAATTTTTTCTCCCAAGCCATTTCTGATATAATTTATAACGACACAATATTAAATAGCATATGAGATGATTTATTCGTGTACACATTTTGGCTTTTTTTTTTAAATGTATAAATTGATTTTTTTTTTTTTTGATAACAAAATTGATTTTTTTAAGAGCAGAGAATCATATTAAATTTTATTTTTGAGCAGAGAATTATGCCAAAGTCCTTGAGCCACCCATGTATCACTGAACCCCACATGCCGCTTTACGCATTTCCAATACTCTACGTTACTTAGGAATAAGAATGGTACAAACAACTTGCCTATTTTATATTTCATTAAAAAAATTATGCCACATTTGTCATCATCTCAAAAGAAGTAGTTCAAAATTTATTTTTTAAAACTTTGAATCGGCACACTCCACTCCAATAATAATATACAACATTGGCTAATTATAATATTGCAGGAAAAGGGCCCTTCAAATTATATGGGAGAATGGATATCTTAATCAAAAGAAAATGATACATGAAGAAGCCATTGATTTAAGCGTAGTTAGATCTCTCTTAATTAGACTCCCAAGTTGCAACAATTGTGGCCCCAACATCAAAATCCATGTGCACGGCGTTATCTGCAATTATTCACAGCAGTATATAATGTATATATATTTTAATGTATGGACCCACCGGATCTTCGCATACATTGAACCTGTTAAGGTTCTTTCCCTTGGCGTCTTATGCAACAACTATTAAACTAGATTACATCAAGCCCACTTTCGTATTTATTTTTCATTTTTTTAAATAAAATAACGGGCTGTTACATCACATAGAATTTTATAACAATGAAGTAAACTGCACGAATAACATGAATTATACGGTAAACAGAATATTAATTAATTATCGAATTTAAATCTTTTAACTTAAAAAATAACTCAAATTGAGGAATGTATTTTTGAAAAAAAAAATATATAATTTGAAAATACTATTTTCATTTTACATGAAATAATTATCTCACTTCAAAAATTTCACCTTTTTTTTTATCCTTTAATGGTGGGCCCAACGTGACTTCTTTATGTAATATGAGAGAACTACTCCCATGTAAAATATGAGAACAACATTCTCCTATATAATTATATATATGTTTAAAATTATTAAAATATGAAAAAAGTGTTTGTCATTTTAAGAGAGATAGACACAAAAAAATATTTTTTTAATTAAAATTTAAATTAAAAAAAATCATTCACTTTCTCTCCCATGATTTTCATTCCTTGTGTCTATCTCTTTCTTGAAATGACATAACTTATGTCATTTAAAATGACAAACACCAGATCCTTAAAATATATTTTATTATTTTTTAATTTAAATTATATTCCACACATTAGTGCAGCAAACTTCTTAATTATATTCCATACATGTTATTTCTTACTAATTTACAAGTTATTTAAATAAGTGTACAAAAAAAAATTTATTCGAGTATATCGATGCTCTTTTATTGAAGCTAGAGAGAGAGGGCACGCCTTTTTCTCAGGTTGTCTATGTTCTTCAATTGGTTTTCTTTTTCTCCTTTTTTGGTGGGGTTCTTTTCAGTTTTCAGAGCCTTTAACTCTTCCTCGGTGTGGTAGGAGATGTGTCTCGTGATCTTCAGCTCTGGATTCTCTAGTTTGGTTGCTAAAAGTTCCTTTTTTTGCATCGGAGTGTGCAATTCTCTGCAGGTTTCCAGCAGATGAGTAGCTTAGCTTTCTTGTTAATGAGCCCTGAAGGTGTTTGTTTTTTTATGTTTTTCTGGACTTTTTGAACATTTCCCTTTTATTTTGCTTCTGGGCATTATTGTTGTACTGTGTTCCTCTCTTCGGCATGTGAGATTTTTATCTGTGGGTTGGAGATGTTGGTCTCTCTGATATGATATTTGGGAGAAGGATTCCAGTTAGATTGAAGGCTATTTTTTACTTGAAGATCTAGAGGGATAATAGATGGGATTGAAAAAACTGTAGGATTATTGAATAGTCATGGGTTTGCATGATCTTAATCTGTAGATTAGTTGAAAAGCATTTAAAAAAAGTTGGGTTTGAACTAGGAGGTGAGGTGTAATGGGTTCATTGGTCTGATTTGTGAGAGGCAATGGAAGGAAATTTGTCACAGGGAGGTATAATTCAAGGTGGATCTTCTTTTAGTGGCTTTGATTTGCCAGGATCAATTCGGGTTCATCATCAAGCACAGCATCCACATACCATGCACCAACATCAAACTCATCCACGTCAAGGGTCTTCTGTACATTCCTCAGTTCATGATGGTTTCCCACTTACGATGGGAACCTTGCCGAACTGTGACCAAACCATTTCATTGACAGACTTTAGTAAGGGAGACAGAAGCAAAAACTCCGCAAGTGAGGAAGATGAGCCAAGCTTTACTGACGATGGTGTTGATGGTCACCATGAAGCGGGTAGAGGGAAAAAAGGATCACCTTGGCAGCGGGTGAAGTGGACTGATAAGATGGTAAAGCTTCTGATAACAGCTGTTTCTTATATAGGAGAGGATGTAACTTCTGATGGTGGTGGCTGCGGAAGAAGGAAATTTGCAGTCCTACAGAAGAAGGGTAAGTGGAAATCTATTTCCAAGGTCATGGCTGAAAGGGGTTATCATGTTTCACCTCAGCAATGTGAGGATAAATTCAATGATCTTAATAAAAGGTATAAAAAGCTTAATGATATCATAGGGAGGGGCACTTCTTGTCAGGTTGTTGAAAATCCTGCGCTGTTGGATGTAATAGATTATCTTTCTGAGAAGGAAAAGGATGATGTTCGAAAAATATTAAGCTCAAAACACCTGTTTTATGAGGAGATGTGTTCTTACCATAATGGCAATAGATTGCATTTACCCCATGATCCTGCATTGCAACGTTCACTGCAGTTAGCTCTCCGAAATAGAGATGATCATGATAACGATGATATCAGAAGGTACCATCATGATGATCATGATGAAGACGATCAAGATGTGGAATTTGACGATCATGATGACTTTGAAGAGAATTGTGCTTCCCATGGTGATAGTAGAGGAATATATGGGCCATTAGGTGGATCTATGAAGAAATTGAAACAAGGCCAATGCCAAGAAGATGCTAGTACTTTTGGTAATTCTTTAAATTGTCAGGATTACAACAAAAGTTCATATCCCCACGGGCAGATGGTCCAATCTGATGCGAGTCAAGTTTTACCTGAAAGCACGAGAACAGCTTGGTTACAGAAGCAGTGGAATGAATCTCGCTCACTTCAATTAGAAGAACAAAAGCTGCAAATTCAGGTTGAGATGTTGGAACTAGAGAAACAGAGATTCAAGTGGCAGAGGTTTAGTAAGAGAAAGGACCGGGAGTTGGAGAAGCTGAGTCTAGAAAATGAAAGAATGAAGCTTGAAAATGAACGTATTGCTTTAGAACTGAAGCGAAAGGAAATGGGCACTGGCTTTAACTAGGTCAGCAGTCTTGCAAGCTTTGTGGCAATTGCATTACATGCATAATGCTTCATTTTTTAGTTGTCTTTGGTAAGATTTGGTTTGTTTAGTTGAAAATATAGATATTTGATTGGGGAACTCTGGAAATCATTAACGCTCTCTCCTGCTTGTACCGTTTAAGTTTGTTAATTTTACAACTCCAGTCAGTAGTGCACAGTGGTTAAGCTTTACTGAAGTTTTGTATCTTATGTTTAAAGACTTGGTGACTGAAATCCCTTTAATATTTTATTTTGTAATATTAAATTTCTAATATTATATATTTTCTGTCCTTATATTTGAGTAACAGCTGTAGATATTATTCTGGTCATTTATTGTTTTTTATTCTTGAAATCATTTATGTTCTTACCTAGTGGGAAAAGGATTTTATTGTGGCTGAAATCATTTATGTACCGTTCATACCTACCAGAACATTTTTGAAAGAAATCATAAATATTAATTGTAGCTTATAAATAGGTTAATGTAGTTTGATCTATCTATTTTCTGTAGCGTATGATAGCAAGGATGCATTTTGTCACTCGAGTGATTTCCTGTGCCATATTTTAAAATTATTTAGCGATAATTAAAAAGAATGAATATTATGCTCAGCAAATAAATAAATAAATAATGAATATATAGCTATGTGTGAAATATCTCTAGGTTGATTTAACTTTATCTTCAGTAGGCAGCCAGTTGAAGGTGGGAACCGGGGGGGCTTAAAATGGAATCTTGTCAATCTATAGTCGGGCTACTGCTGTTGAGTTTTCTTCTAAGTTCTTTTTACATATTGTTACTCTTTGCTTGAATACTTTGCAATTATTTATTGAAAAGTTGCTTTGAAAGTAGTCCAAAATTCCCTCTAAGGGCAAGTCTTACTCTTACATTTGGAAGGCTCAGTTCAATTTATACTAACGAAATATTGCAAATTAATATACCTAAATATGCTATATCTCCTGATGTGCGTGATGTATTTCTAATACAGAAAAGTTGTGAACTTCTTTTACATCTCCCAGAAGCCAGTTATATTTGGAATAGGAATCTTGGTGATTTTTTGTGAATCTTTGGTGTGTCTTATGGTTATGGGATTGTAGCAGTTTTTCCATTAAGTATAAAGGCTTGCGCAGCAGTAGGTGAAAAATGTTTTATGGCATCTTGCCATTGTATGCTTTTCTTTGGTATCTCTGGTTGGAGTGAGGGGCTTAGATTTTTTGGGAGCAATTTCCATCCTGTGCAGGGAACCATACCCTATTGACGGAAAGAAGTGTATAAGATGGTTTGAAGGGAAAAAAGTGGGAAAGAATTATTTCCCTTTTATAAAATATATGCCATCTTTGCTTGTGATGAAATTGTCCTTTCTACTAAGTTACTTAAGCTACACTTTTTTTATATGATGACATCATTTTTTCCCATTCAATTACACACATGTAAACTGTTAGGCACGAGTCAGAACATAATAAAAAGAATAAGATTTGGAGGATATCTTCCAGAAGGAATGTAAATGATTAGGGAGTTAGTTACAGGCAGTTACAATATAAGTTCGGAGATTAATTAAGTAGTTAAAAAGGAGAGGTTGTATTATTTAGGACACCTTTTTGGTGAATAACAGAAACTGAGCCGTCCTCAGTTGTGAAGGGGTCATCCCCTTGGAAAGGGGCTTCCTCCTCTTGTTCCCTACCTTCTGAATAACAAAATTCCATTCCCTATTTTTGTAATGAATATATTTTCAGAAAATAAATAAATTAATAAAGAATATATAGCTATATGTATGAAGTATTTCTTTTCTAGGCTGATTTAACTTTATCAACATTCAGTATACAGAGACTTGAAGGTGGGAAGGAGGGTTATTTTCATATACTTCACAAGCTCAAAATGGAGTCTTGTCAATCTATATTCAAACTACTGCTGTTGAATTTTCTTCTAATTTATTTTTCCATTTTGTTACTCTTTTCTATGTCGCTTGTCTATATTATAAAGCAGATGGTTTTTAATTGATAATAACTTGATTTTGCAAGTAAACTCTAGCTAATGGTTTCTTGTTTATTAGTCTGAATATATACTTGGCACCAATTTCTTTTCTTAATCTCTTGTCTTCTTCTTCTTATTCTCTATAACGCACTCAGAAATGCTTGGATCTATTGTCATGGTTGGCGTTGTTCATCATTTGAGTAGCCAATGAATATATTTTTTCTGAATGGATTTGCTTTCCTCTTTATGTTTGATAGGAACTGCAACGAGCCTATGAGCTTTCTATCTTCCATACAAACTAAAATCTACTACTACCCTATAAGGAATTTTCTCTTTTTTGTTGATCTTAGAGGATGCAACAAATGATGTTCTGAAACTGTTGTGGGAATATTATTTGTCCTTCAAAATTTTAATCATTGAAACACTTGGCTCTATAAGAGAGCAATTGTTTTTCTCGTTACTTATATGGACATTGAAGCTTCTGTTTAGTGTCTGATGCTCAAGAAATGCAGGACTTGGATTGATAGCCTCAATGATTAGCCTTGGAAAAAGAAAGAAGAAAGAAAGCCTCAATCAAGGATGCAGTATGATGAACTTGTTTGCTACTTGCTGAGTATAACAGACTTTCTAATACTTGAAGTTATAGGAATTTACCACCTGGGATTGACTTAGATTGTTTGGATAAGTAGGAATTTGGGCAGAGGTCCTTGGTTCAAGCCTTGTATTAACTTCTTTATCAAGGAAAGGAACTCTTGAAATTTTGAGGAGCCATTCAGTTGATTGTTTTGCAGGTCGATGGTCGATGGCCGATGGTATTATACTTCTATATTGAATGTGATACATTTGTTGCAAGTTGCAACAAGTGTATATCTATACTAACAACCCTTCCTCTATGGGTTTCAAAATGAATCTAACCCGACAGGTTGGCCCATAATCTGCTACGTATGACGACTTTGGGTTGGGAGTCCTAACCCACCAACCCATTTAACTCACCGCGGGGTAGGTTCAGGTTCAATTGTCGGGCTTTCTTTTTTCTTTTAATAAAACATTTGTCATTGACCCTTTCTGAACTCTTTGGTCTTCATTTGATATCTTTTATATCTCTTGGCAGTTGGCAACACAAGTTTTCTTTATTTTTTGCCAAATTCAATATACATGCTGGTAGGGCAAGACGGATCGAAGGCGAGTCAGGTTGAGTTGAGATTTTCAACCTATTTTCAAAAGCAGGACAAGGTGCATTGGCTCCTTTTAGGACGGATTGGGGGTGAGTTGCTCGCTTTATCACCTCTTGGCCTTCCTCCACCTCAACCCCTAAAAAACTGTAGTTTCGACTTTGAGTCTTTTAGGGGGTGTTTGGTACGGGAGAAATTTTTTTTTTACTAGAAAAATGTAATTACAAGGAAAGGTGAGAAAGTAAGTTTACTAGGGAAGTTTAAAAAAAGTTGTCTGGTACCGCGAAATATTACTGAAAAAATTGGGTTAAATATCTAAGTCTATGTTTGGTTAAATTTTGATGGGAAAATTGGTGGAAATTACCAAAGTAACCTTTCTTTAAAATTTTGAATGTTACAACACATAACCTTCCAATAGTCTTTGAACATATGTGATTAAGAAGAGGGGTAAAAACGTCTCCATTTTCATCCACTTTTTGCATTTATTCAGTTTCCTCCCAAATACCATGTTGGAAGTTGCATTCTTGCATAGTGAATTTGTAGCTTTTTTACATGCGTTTGTGAATAGCTGGGCAACTGTGTTTGATGGGTAAAATTGTTTATTCTTTCTACCAAACGGAGACAAGAGACAATGCCACACTCACTTTGCTGTAAACTGCACCTGGTTACAGCTATCCGACTTGACTGTTGGTTGTGCAGTGTCATTTGTATTTAATGCAACCAGATTCTGTATATTTTAGTACAGTTCTTGTGAACACAACTTTGATGAACTTAACAGAATCTTTACTTATTTCCAATATGCTGCACTAGTGAATTCCCTATAATTAGTCTTGACAATGCAGCAATTAGCAACGGGAAAAAGTATCATCAACACGAATATTTCTCTGGTGACTGCGCGTGCATCTTTGCCATAAATTTTAACTAGGATCAACCTTACTGTCTTTGACAATTATTGATATTTCTCCAACTTGTTCATATGCTGTGTTATTCCTTGTTACGTTTGTTCTGTTCAAAGCTATTACTGATTACAATTAATTGAAGGTTTTTATTCATGCTAATGTGCTATATTTAGCTTTTTTGTACTCTCTAATTTCAAGGCCTTAGGTGTGATTTCTCATAGTAGTAAGGATCGGCTCCTTCTGAGAATGCAAAATGTAACGAGTCAATGATGATTGTAAAGGGTACATTTGGACTAACAAAAATGACTTCTTGTCTTCCTTCTCTTAGAGGTGGTTTGGTATGAGAAAGTGATTTCTTCCAACTTGAAGAAATTCCATCCTTGTGAAATGTTTCGTTTCAATCATGAATGAGAAATGAACGATCACACTAGTCTATTCTCACGTTTCGTACTTCGAATGAATGCGTGTAATTAAATTGGGATTTCCAATCATGTGAAGAAAACATTGATTATAGTTTTTTCAATCTAAGGCCCAGAATGAAAGTGCAAAAAAATTCATAATGCTTTATGGTGGCAAATGAAAGACTTGTCGGTAGTTCCTGTATTTTTCTTAATTCCTTGCAGTTCTCGTGCTTTTAATTCACATAAATTTTGCGCTCTTTCCCTATATATTGTTGCACACATGACAGGATTACAGGGAATTTGATTTAATCTTAGCTTGAATAATTTAAGGTTTAGAGTTTGTCTTTATTAGTTTAGTCATTTTACCTCTAATAAGGGGGAATCGTGCACTTTTATTAAAGGTTTTGTAAGGACTAATCACAAATTTTGTATCCCAAAAAAAAAAAAAAAATCACAAATTTAAAAGGCGTTGGCAAAAAATTACGGAAGACCAAAAAATCACAAAATGAATTTTATTCTTCTTTGATGTTCTCTACACATGATAATAAGTTTCAAACATGAAAATTGATTTTAAAATTCAAAATTTAGTTAAAATCCAATAATTGCATTGTATTTTTTAATGATTCTAAACAATATGTTAGGTCGAATGATTCCAAGTACAATTTAAGCGTATCATCTCGCTATATATAAACAAATTCTTATACATTCATTTAAAGGCCTATATTTTAAATAAAATGTACAAATTGAAATTCTATTTCAATTATTATATCTTGATTGATTAAAATATCACTACAAGATTATTCAACAATTCTCCTATTACATAAGGGAGGTTGACTAAAAAGCTAACATATGGCATAAGTTATAAACACATAACATCAATTAAATTTAAAATATAGTTCAAATCTAAACTATTGATGACATTATTATAACACTGTGTATTTTTTTAATGAATTTAAACACTGTCTTTTAAAATATCTGATTTGATCTATAAATCATTTTTTCACACCTTTTTATACAAAAAGAAAAAGAAAATGTTATTTGAATAACTTACGAATCAGTCTGTTATCTGTACGTTTAGAAACATTAAAAATGAATTGAGCGTATATTGATAACTTATTTTATCATCCTTATTTATTATAGGTTAAATGACTTAATTAATAAAGTAAAATAAAAATAATCAATTTCGGTTTTATTAATTTTGAAATAAAAAATTTATTTATAAATTAAATCGATGATAAAAACAATTGATTCAAACATACTCTAACGGTTGTATGAGCAGAGCACCATGGCCGCGGAGGCGGAGCGTGCCATTATTATTGAAAAACACACTATGCTTCGGCAATTTTTCTTTTCCCTCTCGTTTTGGAGAGTGTGAACTCCTATTTCTTTTTGTTGACAAATTTGCTTAACATTTTGATCAAAATTTGTTATTTGTCGTTTCATCAATCATTGTTGTGTACGTTTGTCTTTATCAATTATTAGTTCCATTTTTAACGTGAGAGAATTGTCACTAGAAAAAATAATAATTATGTCTTGGGCTAATACATAATTATAATGATAAAATTATTTTCTTTTTTCTGTCATATCAGTCGATAACGTCTGAGAAGAGAGAGAAAAAAAACAGCTTTAATATTATAATTACATACTACTCGTAGTATATAGTTTTTTTTTGTGCAGAAAAATCTTTCTTTTCTAGCAACTTAAGAGAATGATTACTCATTATTAAAACTCATAAACTATTAAAATAACTAGCGATACTTTATAGAGAGAAAAAAAATACAATTATGAACTCCTTCTTTTTTTATACAAGTGAGAATTAAACACACAACCTAATACAACCTACACGAACTCCTCACCACTAAATGAATCATAGTGGCTTTGAACTCCCTCTTTCAAATTATATAAATTTACCTATCTACTTTCTTCACAAAAACAACATAGCTTGAATGATGACATTTCAAAGAAAAATATCAACATCAAATGGTAGTAGGTCAGTTGGTGCATGGGAGATGAGTTCGTGGTGGAATGATCTTGGTTTGATCCCCACCAATACTACCTTTGGAAGGGACATAAGATCTTAATTTTGGACTCGTCCCACAATCAGGATTAGTTCAATAACAAGTTCAAAGGACAAAAGCTTGTAGGAATACCCGAAAGAATCTACTCTACCAAAGAGATAATTATGATTGATATAAAAAAATGAACTTCAAGCTCTATAACTCATGTCTTAATCAACTTCTTGCTTGTATATAGTCAGTTATTCCAATTCATTCATAACAAATTTTTGTAGAAAAAGTCTTCTATTTATCATTTTCCATTAATGTTTGTTAATGTGCTAGAGCCATTTTTTTTTTTTTAATTTTAAAAAAAATATTTATATCCTTTATTATTAAATTATCTATAAATATCATTGTATGTTCTCGCTGTCCTTTAGAGCGTTAAACCATAACATTAAAAGTAAATTACTTCAATTATCATCAAAATTTTATGAAAAGACATATAATCCCTAATTTAAAATCAAAATACACTCAGACTCATTCATCTTTCTTGTCTAACAAAAAGTGTTAAGATCGGTGTAGAATAACAAGAGATGAAAAGAATATTAAACTAAACTTTTATATTGAATTGATTCAGGAGAGTACAATATATAAAGAAACAATAATGAGCTTAGCCCAGACCTAACTTAGATCCTAATGAAATAAGGAAATAGATCTTTACAAATAATAAAGATATCCTTTCCAACACTCCCCTTCAAGCTGGAGGGTATAAATCATAAGCAACAAGCTTAAACAAGAAAGACTAAGAAACACAACATCAAAATAAATCTCCTCTTGAATGAGGAACCAAAATTAAGCAGTGTGCAAAAATGAACATGGACGGTGCTCCCCCTCAAGATGGAGGGATTCATCTTGGGAAGAAAGAAGACAAAAACGAAGCTTCATGGAATATAAGCTCGAGAAATCAATAGCAAATCAACTAGAATGACCATCAGTTTGAAGAGCTGGTAAAGAGACGGTGTTGGAATGGACATCAACAAAGTAAGAAAAAGACATCAAC